AAAATGACACAAAACAGAACAAATAATCCCATTAATACAGTGCTTCCCAGCCATACAAAAACAATCTAACTTCATTTTAATATAACCCAAATGAACCCCAAGTATTTAATGGAGCAACCAAAAAAAGCTGACTCTTTGGGGCTACATTATTGGAAATATGGTGCCCACAATGTGAAGGCTTAGTGCCCCATCTATGCTGTCTTTGCCAGACCAGGTGAAATGACACTTATTCTGACCTTGCACTTAGGAGACGGTGACAGAGCTTATGAAGGTCTTGATGATGTCAGGTAAAATACAGTTGAAGGAACTAGGGCATTTAGCCTGAAGAAAAGAAATTCTTTCAAGAAAACTTGGTAGCTGGTTTCAAATATATGATAATCTGTCATGGAAAAAGAAAAAGAGATATTGCACTTATTCTAAGTGATTCTAATGTTGCAGAGTAAAATTACAGGAAGGCAAAAACCAAGTCAATATCAAGATGCCTTTGTAAAGCTTTAGAAATAGCTGTTAAATAAATTTTTGAATGAATGAATGAATGACTGTGATTGATAGAATGGAGGAATGGTCTCACTGAAATTGAATGCTTTTGAAGAGAGTGAAGTCTCTGTACGGAAATAATAAAGGTGGGAGAGGTTACTTCTCCCAAGAAATGATTTTATGGGAGTTGAAAGTTAGTGGGTAAAAGATCTTAAGGCCTCTAATATTCTTACTAATTTTGAAATACATAATTAGTGACTCTCTTAAATGAAAATCTAATGTTTTTCATATCTATGTACCATATTTTCTCTAAAATATAATCTATACCTTCTCTGATAAAGATAATGATTATTATAATAGTGTATTATGTTCCTTTACAAACTATGTTACTGTATTTTTATTTTATTTACATTTATTAGATTATGGGAAGGGCAGGGAACCTATGATTTTAATTTTTCTTGAGGAAAAGGTCAGGATAGTTTGTTAATGAACTCAAAATTTTATAGTGAATTATGATGAGTTTGGTGATCTTTCCACAGTAATGGTACTTTTCCTAAGAAGTCAAAATTTAAGACTTTGATTATGTGCAATTGACTTAAAGCAGTAGATGCAAAATGAAAGCTATATATTGGATTAAAAAGTACTGAAAGAGCTGAAACCGGTTTGGCTCAGTGGATAGAGCATCAGTCTGTGGACTAAAAGATCCCAGGTTCGATTCCGGTCAAGGGCATGTACCTTGGTTACGGGCACATCCCCAGTAGGGGGTGTGCAAGAGGCAACTGGTCGATGTTTCTCTCTCATCGACGTTTCTAGCTCTCTATCCCTCTCCCTTCCTCTCTGTGAAAAATCAATTTAAAAAATTTAAAACAAGTATTGAAAGAATTAGGAAAGAATTTTAGTTGTTCTCAACCACAAACATTTTCTTCCCAGGGATATTTGGCAATGTGTGGAGACATTTTTTGCTGTGACAACTTAGGAGTGAAAGGAGGGGTGCTACTGGCATTTGGAGGTTAAACGCCACAGACACTGCTAAGAACCCCACAATGCACAGCCTCCTGCAATGAAGAGTTAGCCAGCCCCAAATATCAATAGGGTGAAAATTGAGAAACCCATTGGATGGTGCCCATTCATTTTAAACTAGAATTGGATTTCTTTGAACAATAGGGTGAGGTATCCAAAATATAAAATACATTTAAGCTCTATTCTCTAAAGACTTTTCATTGCTTGCCATTCTGGTAGCATGATCACATCTCTTGCCCTCTTTCTTTGTCCTGCCTGGAGCAGTGCATCCCCTTGAGTAGCGTGTCCACAATGCGCATACTTCCCACCCATTGGTCACTTAGTAGCTGTCTCAATTATTAAATGGACTGACCAGATATGGCAGTGTTCAAGTAAGCCTCATTTTACTTAATAACACCATATGACTTTTATTACAGTATATTGTGATAGCTATTTTATTTTCAGTTATTTTCATTGATCTCTTAATGTACCTATCTAAGTTAGATGTTATATATATATTATATATTTTTTATGTTTTCATATATATATTAAATATATATATATATAGAAAACATAAAAATGTTTTCATATATATATAGAAAACATAAAAAATAGAGGGCTTAGTACTATCTGAGGTTTCAGGCATTCACAGGGGTCCTTAGAACATTTCTTATGGATAAGAGGGTACTTCAGTAATTAGAGGAGAGTCCCTGCCTTTCTGCTAAACTTTCCAAGGTTTTCTGCATCTACTGGTAACTCATTCTAGGCCTTTCTTCTATCCCTTTGTCTTATTTTTGTCCATTTTCTCTCGCATTTGAAACAATAAGAAAAATCGTTTTCCTATATATATCGAATAGTCTTCTCACTCCCTTCTTCAGTTTCACATCTTTGAAGCATAATCTGTAATTATTTGCATCCTCTTCATGCCACTATTGTTTCTCTAGCAACATATTACTGGTGCTTTATGGTTGTATATCCAATGAATGTGTTTCAGCTCTTATCTGTAATTCTCCATCAATCTTTTTTGCACTGTTGATCAAATTCTTTTAGGAAAACTCTCTCTTTTTACTTCTGTGGCTTCTTCTTCTCAGTCACTTGAAGATGTTTCTCTTTCTACCCCTCTATTTTATTGTTCTTCAGGATTCTGTCCTTAATAATATTTCCATTCTCACATAGATCTTTCTGAGTACCCCACTTCCATGGCATGAAATATCAGTTTCTTTTCCATGACTCCCAAATGTAGATCCTGTTGCTTTGCCTTCTCTTTAAGAGTTCCAGAGACATAAATCTAATATTCATTTACTATCTCCTTGATAAACTATTATTTCAAGTCTCAGAGTGTGCAAAGTAGAAATTCTCTCTCTATTCCTGTCTCAGCCACTTTTGGCCATTATAACAAAACTGGAGGCCTGGTGCACGAATTTGTTCAGCAGTGGGGTCCCTCAGCCTGGCCCATGGAATCAGGCTGAAACTGGCTCTCCAATATCCCCTGAGGGGTGCTGGATTGTGAAAGGGTATAGACCAGACTGAGGGACTCCACCAGTGCACAATTGGGGCCAGGGAGTGTCCCTCAGCCCAGCCTGCACCCTCTCCAATCTGGGACCCCTCGAGGGATGTCAGACTGCCCTTTTAGGCCCAATCCCACTGGGCCAGATGTAATCTGAAGTTGTCCACTGGGTGTGCTGGCTCCAGGGCCAAGGTCAGCAACCACCTGTTCTGCCTGGGGCTAACTGGCACAAGCTACTGAGTGATCTGCAGTGGCTATTATTTGTGCTGGGCTTGGAGGTACTCAGGAGAGGTTAAGCTGAGAACTAAGACTGGATGCTACTAGGCCAGGCCTGGGGCTACTTAGAGAGAGGTACAAGGTGTGCTATGGTCAGATGTTGTTGCTTGTTTGAGAGATTTAAAAATCTCTCAAGAGTCCAAAGAATGAGCCAAGATAGGCCATTTATATGGAAAATCCATTGGGAACATTTGGGTATGCCCAAAAGTTGGTGGGACAGGGTCTCGGAATTACAAGGGCGGGTAAATAGTGATAGTCAGTTTGCTGGAGACACAGATATGGCACCCGTCTACTGGCTCTGTGGGGTGGAGAGTGTCTCAAAAAAGGAGCAATGGCCTTTGCCAACATCTAGATGCCAGACAACTCATTTCCTCACAGTATATCCCTGGTTCCTTTCAAGTTGTTGTACCTGCAGCTCAGAGTGAGTAAGTCTGAATAAATTTATGGGTGGGCCCTTTAAGAGGAATGCCTTCTCACTCAGCCAGTCCCAACTGTTTTTTTGTTTGTTTGTTTGCTTGTTTGTTTGTTTTTAAATTATATGGTATTTGGGGCACTATAGCATTTGTCTTTTTTAAAAAATATATATTTTATTGATTTTTTTACAGAGAGGAAGAGAGAGAAATAGAGAGTTAGAAACATCGATGAGAATCATCGATCAGCTACCTCTTGCACACCCCCTTCTGGGGATGTGCCCGCAACCAAGGTACATGCCCTTGACTGGAATCGAACCCGGTACCTTTCAGTCCACAGGCTCTATCCACTGAGCCAAACCAGTTTCGGCTCCCTACTGTTTTTTACAGCCAGAAGTTATGAGTACTTCTTTTCCCAGCACTAAAACCCTGGGCTGGGAGTCTGGTTGTGCAGCTGGGACCCCTTGCTCCTCAAGGAGTAACACCATAGCTGAGATATCCTTCTCATTTTTTATCCACCACATGTGTGAGTGGGACTAGCTCATTTTATGCCCTGGTCCCCCTGCCATTTATCCCCCACCCCTTCCCACCATTCTTAATATGGCTTCTTTGTATCCTTAGTTATAGGACTTCTGTTCAACTAGATTTCAGATAGTTCTGAATGATAGTTGTTTTGTAGTTCAGTTGTTTTTTATGTGATTGTGAAAGGATGCAAGTACCACATTTCTCTATACTGCCATCTTTACTGGAAGCCCTCCCAAGTTCTTATTTTAGAAATTTTCAAGTATATATAAAAGTAGAGAGGACAACACAGTGACTCTTTATATACCCACCACCCAGCTTCAACAATTATCGATTTGTTTTATGTAAACAAAGTTTTAAAATAATTCCTACAAATTGCATGTCTAGGTCATATCTTCCCAAGAGGAAGGAACTCAGTAATTAATACTTAAGAAACATTTGGTCTCTGTGGAATGGAGAAAGTAAGTTGCCATATTGTTTATTATCCATTCTCACTGGAAACTCATTTATTAATTCATCCAGTGGCTAAGAACTCTATTTTCTGTTTGTATGATAAGTTTCTATCACAAATTATGGTCAAGTTTCCTTACTTATGGTGCATAGTTATGCTGGTTTGAGAATTCTGTCTTCTGCACTGTTAGCTTAAAAGAATGGCTTGTGTACACATCCCTTCCTGCGGGATAATGAATTGGAAATGGAAGCCACAGGCTTGTTATTTTTATAAAAGGGTCATAATTTTGATAGAGTATTTTACTTTGAGGAAATATTCAAGTCTTCATGTTTGTTTTGGTTCTGTTTTGAACTTGAAGGTTTAGTGATCCTCCACTGTGTTGTGGCAGATGGGAACTCAACCAGAAGTCCTGAGAATGATGGCCTTCTCTGTGGAGATGCCAGAGAAGATTGTGCAGGTAATGCTTAATTTTTGTATTTCATCATCTTCATCTTCAATCTTCTTAAGTTTAATTTTTGATTATATAGTAATCATAAAACTAGGTAGTTTTGTTTTTTGTTTTTTAGCACATACTAATACACCAGGTACTGTGCTAAGTGCTTTACATGAAGTAATTTATTTACTCCTCTCACAAGCCCTAGGAGCTGGGTAATATTAAGTAACTTGGCAAAGGTTACACAGGTGGTAAAGAGCAAATCCGGGATTCATATTCAGGCCTTTGTGATCCTAGTGCTTTCATTCTTTTAATTTTTTTAATCCTCACCCAAGGATATAGTTATTGAGGAGAGAGAGAAAGAGAGAGAGAGAGAGAGAGAGAGAGAGAGAGAGAGAGAGAGAGAGAGAGACATCGATGTAAGAGAAAAATTGATCAGTTGCCTCCCGCACACACATTAAACCCTCAGCCTAGATATGTGTCCTGATCTGGAATCTAACCCACAACCTTTCGGTTCATGGGAGGATATTCCAACTGACTGAGTGAAGTGATCAGAGCTAGTGCTTTTATTATTAATCATAACACTACTTTAGTGTCACAGATGTGTGCTCCATGCTCTGGCATGTTCTATCTTAGACTAGATTAATAAAAAATTCCCATATTCTATTCAAATTATTTGTTTTCCTATTCCACAACTTAAAAATATGTGAAGAAAGCAATAATTTTACATTTTTTTCCCCTGGAAATGCTTGAATTATTAATTATTAGTCTAAGGCAAGGGTCGAGCCTATAAAAGGCCAGATAATAATTATCTTAGGCTTTGTCGACCATGAGTTGTTTCTACTACTCAACTCTTCCCTTTTACTGTAAAAGCAGCCATAGACACTATGCAAATGAGTGGCCTTGGATATGTTCCAATAAAACTTTATTTAGAGAAATAGACTGTGGGCCAGATTTAACCCTTGGACCATAGTTTGCTGACCTCTGGTCTCAGGTTCTGTCTGCCCTTTATAGATTGTGTGGTCTGATCTTCTACACCAGTTGTTTCTGATACAAAACAAAACAAAACAGGCTAATTCCAAATGTAGGGTGGAATGGAGAAGGATCTCCTGTATTCCCTGGAAACTTCTGAGAGTAAGGTGACTTCAGGAAGTTGTAACTGAGCCAGGAACATGCTGAGCAAGTCATCCTGATGTGAGTCATCAATTCCAGCCCTATCTTCTGTCTTTCTCACACTAGTGGGCGGTCTGGAGAATGTCTGAGGAATCCACCCCTGTCTTAGGTCCTGTTTGTGTAGTCTTGTCATCCATGTAGGGAAAAAGAACAAGGTCAATTTTGCATGTTTGTGTGCTTTTCTTCAGTCAGATTTCAAATGGTTTAAATGATGGCATTTTCACATATCCTTTGGGATATTATTCCATAATTTGATGATTGACAGTGTTAAACAATCTGCTTCATCATATCCTAAATGTATTTTCTATTTTTTTAATTGTAGAAATAACATTTAACATGAGATCTACCCTTTTACAAATTTTTAAATGTACAATACAATATTTTTAACTATAAGGCATAATATTATACAGCAGATATCTAGAAATTACTCACCTTGTATAACTGAAATTTTAACCCATGAACAAAAATTTCTTATTCCCCCATTTCCCCAGTCCCTGGCAATCACCATTCTAGTCTCTGCTTCCATAGATTTAGTCATTTAGATATCAGATATCAGTGAGATCATGTAATATTTTCCCTTCGATGACTGGCTTATTTCACTTAGCATAATGTTCTCCAGGGTTACCCATCTTATTGCATATTGAAGTATTTCCTTTAAAACAAACAAACAAACAAAAAACTGAGTCCTGGCTGGTGTGGCTCAATTGGTTGGGCATCATCCTCTGCACTGAAGGGTTACTGGTTTGATTCCTAGTCAAAACACATGCCCAGTTGCAGGTTTGTTTCCTGGTTGGGGTGCTTATGGAGGTGACTAATCAATGCTTCTCACAATGTTTTTCTCTTTCTCTCTCCTTCTTTCTTCTTCTCTCTCTAAAATCAATAAAAACATATTTTAAAAATAAAGAAGATATTGAATGATATTCCATTTTATGTATGTAACACAATTTCTTCATCCATTCATCTGTTGATAGATATTTAGTTTTTTTTTTTACATCTTGGCCATTATGAATAATGCTGTTATAAATATGGGGAGTACAGATATCACTTTGTTATACTGACTTTAATTCTTTTGGATTAATATCAAAAGCTAGATTGCTGGATCATATGTTTGATGTATTTTTAATTTTTTGAGGAAACTACATTCTATTTTCCATAGCAGCTATAGATTGCCTTTTTAGTCCGTTTATTCTTTGTTTAATATGGAGAAGATATAAGTTTGTTTAAGGTCACACAGTAAGCAGAGTAGTCTGTGTAGAGGTCAAAAAATTAATTTTCCTCCCACCTTTTTAATTTCTTCTGTCTGGGCTAATAATCAAATTTACAAGAGACAGATTAACAAGAGAAAACAAGCAAATTTAATTGCTATGACAATTAAGGCCTATATGCTATTCTGGAGTTAAGGAAAAGAAAAATGTTGAAGTTTGGGTCTTCAAAGGAAAGAAGGCAATTCGCATGAATATAGAAAAGCAAGTGCTTAGTAAACAAATGTTTGCTGGGCCATATTTCTCAATGTGACACAGAGAGGACTTTGATCAAGCAGGCCTCATTGGGTTCCTCCCTGTCTACCACTCACTAATCCATATTAAACTGTGGTTATCTGTGATGACATATATCTCCCTTCCTGGAGCACGTTCCCTATCTAAATTCCTTTTAGGCAATAAAGAGGAAGGGTCAAAAGTTCTTCCTTGCCAAAACTGGTTTGGCTCAGTGGATAGAGCTTCAGCCTGTGAACTGAAAGGTCCCGGGTTCAAGTCTGGTCAAGGGCATGTACCTGGGTTGCGGACACATCCCCAGTAGGAGGTGTGCAAGAGGCAGCTGATCGGTGTTTCTCTCTCATCAATATTTTTAACTCTCTATTCCTCTCCTTTCCTCTCTGTAAAAAAATCAATAAAATATATTTTTTTAAAAAAGTTCTTCCTGAGTCGGTATTTCCCTTAATTACCAGCTTAAAATCATTATCAGAAGAGCCATATTTTGGGGACAGCAAAATTTTGCTCAACCTCATGAAACATGAATTCAGGGAGACTGGCTCTAGAATGTGTTGTTAATCACCATGCTAAACTGCTAAAATCATGTGGGAAGATCAGAATGCTGAATATAGGAATGAAGGAAAGTTTGAAAAATAATAGCTTAAAGTCCAAATAAGTACCAAAAATTCTTGAGAAAGGAATTAATGTGGAACAGGAGCAGATTGTCTCTATTGACTAATCGTGTGACCTTTGGCAAATCACTTGAGCTTTCAAAGACTCGGTTTTTAACCTGTAAGATGAAGAAGTGAACCAGATGATCTTTAGGAGCAGTTCCTACTTCTAAATGACTTCATGAGTTTAAGCATTCCATGCTTAGTTTATCACTTTCTATTTTGAGTGAAGAATTTATGCATTCCACCAATACTTATAGGCAACTATTATGCAGCAGGCTCTGTTCCAGATACCAAGAATGTAGCAATGAGCACACTGGTCAAAGATGATATCAGAGAGGTTATGAGAAAAAAGAAGTAATGGGTAGTATAATATAGAGTCTTGCTGAGAAAGTTAAAGCCTTCAACTTTTACTCTGAGTGAGTTTTAATATCATCCATCTAGTTTCTGTGTATGCAGATTAGACAGTTAAAGGGGCAAAAACAGGAAGACTACTTCAGATGATTACCATGGGGACTACTGCAAGCCTAGAAATGATGTTGGGCTTAGATCAGGTTATTGGAGATAAAGGGACAATTCTGCATATTTTAAAATTCAACCAATTGAATTTTCTGATGAATTATATAGAGAGTAAAAGAGAAAGACATCAAGATAACTCCAAAATTGTTGGTCTGAATAATAAAATAATGTTGATACAGATTTATTGACATGAGAAAAGACCTGAGTTGAACAGGGAAACCAGGTGTTCCATTTTGGAAGTGTTTAGTTTCAATGCCAGTCAGATATCCAACTGGTGATGTTAGTTGGGCTGTTGGCATTGAGAAAAGAGATCTGGGATGGAAACATAAATTTGGGAGTTGTTAGTTTAAAGGTGTTGCAAGCCAAGAAACACTGAGGGGGGACGGGGAGTGAGGAAAGGAGAAAAGATGAAAGAGCATTGAGGTCCAATGCACTGCAAAATTTACAGGATGGAGGAGCTGAGAAAGAACCAGCAAAGGAGAATGAGCAAAGGAGGCATCTCAGGCATAAGCATTCCATAGTCTGCACTCTTGAAAAACAAAAAGAAATACAAGTATGCCTCCTGTCCATTGTTTTTTTCATTTGTCTCACAGCTCTGAATAATTTTAAATATAGGCAAATACACTCGAACTTCAACTCTAGATTTGTCTTTTCTTCCTTGAGAGTTATAGAATGAAAAGGGGAAGCCCTAAGTAATGGCCCTCTCTTGTCAGGTCAGAATGGTTAGCACAGTCCTCAGGTTAAAAGACATGCTAGAGGGTCTAACTAGCCCTCTGTATAAGCACAGTCTGGTAGCACCAGAGGGATCACAACACATCTGTGAAATCTATTTTCTATTCTTCTTGTCTGGGAGCAACCAACCCTTTCACATTTCTATAGGAAATGGCATTGGATGTAAGACAAATGGGATTCCTCAGTTACAATAAATGTTAAATTTTGCACTTGAAGGGCATCATGAATTTAAATTCCCCTTCTCAGGGAGATCATTACAAAGATAAGAAAAAAAATAACATTAAAATATATGACTTTCTTCCTCACCTTTTGGCTTTAAAAAGTTGTAATATTAGAAAACCCTACTGGGAAAATGCCTGGAAGGCAAGGACAGAAGTTTGAAGCCTTGGGCTCTACTTCACAGACTAGGAAGAAACTTTTCTCTAAACTCTGCTGGGACCACTTAAACTCTTCTGTGCCCTCGGTGTTTCCTTTTGGAGGTCAGGCATCTGAGTGGGAAGGTGAATTTCTAGGTATTTGTTTTGCTTCTTCTCTCCTTGTAAACACTTGTAGGACATCTATGTCTATATTAAACACCCCCTTTTAAGTCCCCTACACAAGCATTTAACTATGTGTCAAAATAGGGGTCACATATGCTATGAGGTTATGAACATTGTAATGATAATTTCAAAAGACATTATAACTATAATTTTACTTTACCTTTAGAATTGTTTTCAGAAGAGCTGCCGATATTAATACCATTATAAATCATTACTTAGAATTCTACTAAGCACTATTGAAATAAGTTAGGGTAGATTTTATAAAAAATAGAACTAATGTTTCAAATCTGAAAAGTTTTCATCACCAATATATTACAAAACCTGTTTTGGCTTGACAGTAAGAATCATGTACAGAAAGACCAATGCCCAATGCTGCTTAATCAAAGCATTTATCAAATTGAGGGGAAATCCATATTTAAACAGTTATCTGGGTGTTGGCTGTCTTCCTACATTTGAGTTTAGCTCAAAAGAATTTGTCACCTCTCATCTAATTATCCATATCACCCAAGGAAGATACACTTCTTGTCTATCTACCCAAAATAGTCAAAGAAAGAGGTTTTTACTTCTGATCCCTTGTGCTAACTCTTAGAATCAGATTTTGACATACACTGACCTGCAATAATCCTTGTGGTTTCTTACTTATTTGGCATTAGAATCTTAGGGATATGGTGTCTCATGAAGAGATTGTGATATATTACCTGTGCCTATCCAGTTAAGTGTTGCAACCTGGCTCACCAATGGATGTAGTTTTCCAGTGAAATTTTGTGAGACAGACTCACTCCCAGAAGCATGTTTTGGTTTTGTGGCATGTGGGCTGGAAAAGAGGAAGGTGGGAGGACAAAAGATCAATTAATTCCACCATACCCAGAATCAAGGGATGCTTCAAGCCTGTGACGTGTTCAAAACCATCCCATTCAATTCTCAAAAGAGAAACCCAATACATGAAACTAATTTTACATTTGTCATAGGATTAACTTTTTCTTCTTCTTGAGACACATTCCTGGAATGGAATGGTATAATTTTGCCATCCCCGCCTATCTCATTAGGTCTCATGATAGGCAGAAAATGTTAGATTTCACAATTGTTCAACTTTCAGATGTAACCTTCGTGAACTTTAGATGAAAGCACCTGGAATTGTAGATGCATTTCCAAAGTTGAGATTCTGATCAGTCTTTAATTTCTAGAGAGAGGAAGAGAGGTCTCTCTGGCTTTTGGGGGGCAGTATGTGTGAGCTGTTTTCTACTAGGTTTTAAAGTTCCATAGATAAATCATTGAATATTTTCTTCCTGATGGCATGGAACTGTTTTTAAATCCAAATAATTTTGTGAATATTTAAGAGCAAGCTTATTGGCAAAGAAGAGAGCTCTGTGAGTTGTGAAAATAGGCCCTGCCAACCATTTCTCTGGCACAGGCGTGTGTTGTTGGATGAACTGAGGCTGATCAAATCACTGTGTCCAGCAGCTGCTATTAAGGTTTGAGCTAAATCTTGTTTGGCTCAGTGGCTAGAGCGTCGGCCTGCAGACTGAAAGGTTTCGATTCCGGTCAAGGGCATGTACCTTGGTTTCAGGTACACCCCCAGTAGGAGTGTGCAATAGGCAGCTGATCGATGATTCTCTCTCATCGATGTTTCTAACTATCTAGCCCTCTCTCTTCCTCTATGTAAAAAATCAATAAAAAATACATTAAAAAAAAAAGAAGGTTTGAGGGACCTGCTCTGTTTTGGTGCTTATGGGAACTCTTGCTATGTTTAAAGAGGCACAATGAATAAGTGACTCAGTTGTGATCAGAGCACAGAATGTTGTTGCAGCTTATGTTTAAAGCAAGGAGAGTTTTGCAAAGTAAAAAGACCTTTCTGGAGCACAGCAGATCTGTCACTAAGTGTTATTGCTTCTTAAATTCTTCTTGACCTTTACTCACCTCCTGCAGGCCCACATCACGTATGTCTGTGTGGTTCAGCTGTACCTTGGTTGACTGCTTGCACTGGTATCTTTCTACTCAGATCCAGTCTGCACTCTCCTATCTATTTATAAAAGGCTTCTCACTTAGCTTCTACATGTACCATTGAATTTATTGCATAAGAACCTTCTTCAGCACTCTTCTGCCTTAAATTTCAGTGCAAACACATTGGGCAATTTGGGTTTTCTAACTTCTATTCACAGCCATCTTTGCTTCCCTTCATGCCCCTTCCATTATTACAATGAAATCTTCCCTTGCATAAGGCTTGCATATTCTTGACTCTGACCTTTTGACCTTAACATTCTCCATATCTCACTTGCTTACTCACCACCTCTAAATGAAATATCAACGTGTCCCAAAAATGATCCCTTAATTTAGTAAGCACCTTTGTACTGATACAACATTTTTTTTTAGAATTGCCAAGATTCTATAATCAATCCATTTACTGAGAGCATTATAGTCCAGGCTCTCTGCTAGGAATTCCACATGTATTTTTTTTGAGCCTCTGAATGAAGTAAATGTCATCATTTTCAGTTTGCAGGTGAGGAAACTCAGGCTCAAGAAGCTTACTTTGCTTTCCCAGACCCACGTGGCTAGAGAAAGGCAGAGCTGAAAATAAAACACTAAGTTCCTTCCTCCCAATCCAGTGTTTTTTCCACTGTTTCCAGTGGACGACATCTGTTTATGCAGTTACCATGGTTGCTCTTACTTGTTGCTTGTTTATTCTTGTCTTGAATTTGGTTTATTATGAGAGAGAGATAGGATATCCCTTATTTCTTTGATGTTTCCCAATGTCTATTATAGGGCTCTGGAGATAGAAAGTACTTGATGAATGGAAGTTGACTAATCAATTTATTTGCCAAAATACATAGATCTTTGCCTTAGAGTCAGTTTGCACTTATTTCTGGCAGAAATTTCAATAAGAACCCCATTGATTGGCATGCATAGCAGAAATATCTGGCACGGACCAGCAGTGAGCATGGCTGGTAATTAAGCCACCAACCAAAACCAGGTCAGCCAGTTCCTCAGCAACATTCTGCCACCCACTGACACTGTGACCTGGCATGACAGGCACTTGCTGTGTGTAGATCATCAGAGCTCTTTGTGACTCTTCTCTCTGGTGGCCCTGAGCAATTATATGCGCTCATTACATAATATGAAGGAAGAAGTTTAGCAGTCCTTGCTAATAATAAAAGGATTGTTTGATGTCATTGGGGTGGCAGGTGCCCCACCAAAGCTAGTGTGAGAGGCCATCCATTAGCGAACACTGTGGTCTTTCTGGCTACACAGGTGTCTGACTCCTGCAAGCTGCTGGTCATGATATGAATATGGAAAGTCCGGCCCTGGGCTGGGCCTGGCTAGTTAGCTGTTCTCTCTGGGTGTGAGCACATGTCTGCTGTGAATCCACACAGCCAGTTAGTATTTCTGTACTCTTCCTCTTGACAATGTTTATTTATTGAGACTTTCTATGATGAGAAAATTGTTACATATTACTGTCCCAGGTGAATAATTAGGCAATCACTACCCTAAAGGTGAGACAAGAGGTCAGGGCAGTGCAGGATTGAAATCCTGAATGTGAAGCTTTCAGAATCTCCCTCCTTCAGGGCATGAGCATCCTTCCAAGGGTCAAATGAGAGAGACAATCTCCCATTCAGGAAGCATGACTCCTGGGGTCCTGGGTGGAGAACAGATGACAGCCACCTGTGAACACCTGGCTTGATAGAGTGCTGAGTGGAGTGGTCAAGAGCATGGGGTGTGGGACAAGATGGCCCTCGTTTGCAGACCAGCATCTGGTTTTCAGTAAGCGCTTCATAACTGTTTAAATTAAAACAATTTTAAAAAGGACAGAAATGTGTACCTCTCTCTTCAGTGCCATCAGCCTCAGGACTCTAATAATCTTCATGAGAAGAGTAACCTTTTCTCTTACCACAACTATGCTCTACCCTTTAAACAACAACAATGTTTCTGAGAGGTAGAATGTTCACAAATCTAATTAAAATATGAAATGTTCCCACCACAGTTCCCATTATACAATCTCTAGCGTTATTTTGGAGCCACAAAAGTGTAACTTTTATCCCAGTGCAGAGAGGAGAAAAGAAAAACAGGAGTATATTCTGCAAAAAACCTGGCAGTAAAGATAAGCATATACTACTGCTTAGAAATGTGGTTTTAGGTGAGTGACTTATTGACCTTTTTCTTATTTTTTAGTTACCACCACACAGTCAAAGTGGAATGATTACTTCTCTCCATGCCCCAAGAAATATGAGCATTACTGCATCAATGGGAAATGTCGCTTCGTGGGGGCCCTGCAGACACCCTCCTGCCTGTAAGTGGAGCCCTGAGCCTGCAAGCAAAGGGGGACAGGATGGTGCTGGCCGGGGCTCTGCAGAACTGGAAAGTCTGAGCTAATCAAGCCTTCTGCCAGCACAGGGACCCCTGGTCCTACCCCAGCCACTTGTTCAGTAGCTCCTTCCACAGCTGCTCATGGAGAAACTGACGCACATTGGAGGGTCCAGATTTGCTTGCAGGCAGGGCTGAGTCCTATGCTGCCTTAGACAAGCAAGACTATTTCCATCCAGTATTAAGAATGTTTTTTCTCTTTCATCATAGTTTTTTATTATTATTATTTTTCAATTATAGTTTATATTCAATTTATTTTGTATTAGTTTGAGGTTTACAGTCTAGTGGTTAGATAATCATTTACTTTCTAAGTGTCCCCCATATGTCAAGTACACACTTGGCACCTTACATACTGATGACAATATTTTTGACTATTTTTTCTAAACTGTGCTTTACATCCCCCTGGCTACTTTGCAACCACCAATCTGTATTTGTAAATGTCTTCATCTTTTCTCTCCAAACCCCAACCTTTCCCTCTGGCAACCATCAGTCTATTCTCTATACCTATGTCTCTTTCTGTTTTGCTTGCTCATTTGTAAGGCTATTTAGGTTTCACAGACAAGTGAAATCATATGGAATTTGTCTTCCTCTGGCTGACTTATTTCACTTAGCACAATGGCCTCTAGGTCCATGAATGCTATTGCAAATGGTAAGATTCCCTTGTTTTTCATTGCCAAGTAGTAGTCCATTGTATATATGTACTATAGCTTTTTTACTCACTCATTTACAGAGGGGCACTTGGGTTGCTTCTATGGCCCCAGGGTGTAATGGTTAGCACTATTGACTTTGAATCTGGGGATCTCCATGGAACTTGCTTCCTTTATGGTGACATCCTCCCGTGTGCTTCTTGTCATTCCTTACCCTCAACCCATCTTGTGTTCATGGTGTAGTGGTTATCATATGAGCCTCACACAAGGGCAGGAAGAGATTAACCAAGAGATTATGTGTATATATGCATAACCCATGGACCAAGAATAATGCAGTAAAGGCCTGGGGAGGGGGCGAAAGTGGGGTGGAGGCAGTCAATGGGGGAAAAAGGGAGATATCTGTAATATTTTAACAATGAAGATAATTTTTAAAAGGATGGTTTTAAAAGCTCAATTTATCTCCCATGTGTTTTGAATGGAAAATACATTTTCTGACATTAGTTATATGGTTTGTAATTTATTTAAATATAAAAGAGTTTCTGCCAAATTAAAAGTCACTTTTGCAGGTGTCAATTAAGTGCAAAGAACCCCATTTTATCTATAAATATAGGTTTTTAAAGTTTGTTTAATAGGGCAGGGAATTGGAAGAAAAATCTTCACCTGTTAATACATTAAGAGTCCAAATTTTAATTTACTCAGGCACAAGAAACATTTTTTGCATAATTTAAATATTCATTTTCTTCTAAAGAGATGTCCCTCTAAAATGCTCTTAGAGCTCACCTCATAGGGTAGCAAGGTTATTTCTTAAGTATAATTTTTATTAAAATTCATAGAATATTATGTGCATTTCCTCCCAGCAGATGTTTTTGTTTGTTTGTTTTTTCATAATTATCTCAGGACAGAAATTCTAATCCCTAATTTAGTGAAATGTATGAGTTATGGACTTCTTTGAAATTTAATTTAAAAATAAAAATATAAGGATCATAATTAGAGGTGGGAAAAAGGGAAGAAGAAAAATGTGCCTGTGTGTGTGTGTGTGTGTGCATTGGGAAAGACAGCTGATTTTTTTTCAATTTCATTTAATTGCTCACTGGTTTGAGAGAATATATTGAGTCTTTTAAATATTAATGCCTATTAATGCACTACATTTTTCTAACTGATCTCTATGTCTGTACATTTATTGTTCTTTAATATTGCTGCCTTCTAAAATGAAAACCACAGTGTGTGATCTACTCCCTAAGATCAACACACAGCATGCTCCCTTCTGCCAACTCATTTCCTCAGCCTTCAAAGCTACTCTGATCCTGCTTTATTCTAACCACATCTCCATTATAGCTTCAAATGTCCCTCTACAATCCTGCATTCCTTTGTGTGGTACTTCACACAAGCTCTTCTCATAATCTGTAAAGCTCATTCTCACTGGTGTTTTACATGCAACTCAAACATCAGCTCTTCCTGGACCCCTGAATTATCTTTCCTCTTCTCAGACACATTCAGGTGTTGGCTGGATGCCATTACTCTGGGATTTAATCCCACTTCTATAAAAACTCTTTCCCCTGGAGCATAAATGGTAAGTGTCACTTCTATAACTGTGAATACCTAAAAGGCAGGGCTCGTGGCTTATTCCTTTTTGTGTTCTGGTGCCAAGCATCACACCTAGATTTTACTAGGTGTTCAAGAATGACTGATGAATTAGTGACTGAGTCCCTCTATCATAATTCATCCAATGCTCTGCTAAGTATCAAAACCAAGGCCTTGCTGGATGATGTGGCTCAGTCCTTGAGCATTGACCCACAACCAGGAGGTCACCTACTCAATTCCTGGTCAGAACACATGCCCTTACTGTGGGTTCAATCCCCAGTAGGAGGCATGCAGGAGGTAGCTGATTCATCTTTCTCTCTATCCCTTGCCCTTCCTCTCTCTCTCTCAAAAAAAAAAAAATTAATTAAAAAACATATTAAAAAAACACAAACCAAGGCCTTAATCTGAACTAGGAACACCTTAGTGGTAGAATGATAATGAATCAATAGGAGGTGGGAAAGCTTTTGGGGCAGGACACAGATTTTGAAATCAAATAGACCTAAGTTAAAATTTTGTTTTCATCAATAAATAATAAGCAAGTTTAACAATGGATCAGATATCTTTCCCAAGTCTCAGTTTTATCATCTGTAAGATGGAATAATAATATCTTTCTCTGAAATGTTGAGAACTAGGCAAAATAAACATTAATAAAAATATTTATTATGGTACCCAGCACAGAGTAAATGTTTCATAAACTGTACCATGAGATGAGTGAGAAATATTGAACCTAGGCCTGACCTTTTGGGTCACTTACACAGATTCAGATAAAACTGCCCTGCCCATGGTGCCTATGCTATTCTGGGAACCAGAAATATCTCCTTTTGAGCTCACAGGAGTTTGTGGATTCCTGCTTTTACATAAACACCACAGTGTTTCAAAGAACTTCAATCCTCTATTAGTCTCTTCTGTATATTTTTGGAATCGAGGCAATTTGTTTCCAGATACATAATTTTTAATTATTTATGCAGCACATTTCATGTTAGCAGTGTTGCATGGAGTTGGGCATTAACTTAGTAGCCAACTTCCTGCCTTTGAGCCCCAGCCCCACTCACTCAATTTCTCTATAGCTGAGTAATAAAATGGGTTAATAATAACAACTACTGTGAAGGTTATTTTAAGAATCAATTGAGCCCGGCTGGCATGCCTCACTGGTTGAGCATAGATCTATGAACAAGGAGGACGAGGTTTGATTCCCAGTCAGGACACATGCCAGAGGCAGCCAATCCATGATTCTCTCTCATCATTGCTGTTTCTGTCTCTCTCCCTCCCTCTCTCTTCCTTCCTAAATCAATTAAAAAATATATTTTAAAAAAAGAATCATGGAGTTAATACTTCTAAATCTTTTAGAATTGTATCTGGTGATTACTCCAGAAAAGTGATCCCAAATCTGATTTTGCAGAGTCCTCAAGGACCATGGGCATCTTTAAAAATTATTTAAAATTTTATTTCATGTTTATTAAATCTCATTTGTTTACTTATTGAGCATTTAATAAACATCTCCTGGAATCTTGTACCCTTTGCCTCATTTTCACTGAGGCAAAGGTTACTATTGATTTGACCAGAAGTGAAATAACATGAGAGCCACTACAACTGGTTAAGGTTTCACCTTCTAGCAATGGCTTACTGGGTTATAGCTTGCTGGGAGGCTTACAGTTCACTAAGAAATTCAACCAGAGTGTGATTACACCATAGGACCTGAGTTATAAACCTGGAGTTTATAATTAGAAAAGCATTCTAAAGAACAATAAGAAATTGCAGTGTATTTTATAGGCGAAGGTATTGTTTAAAAATGCCACTTTTAGTGAATTTATTAGAGAAACATTTAAGCTAATTAGGAGAGACTATATTTGTAAGATTTTAATTATGACCTTTAAAAAAAAAAAAGACTCTTAAAAACCTTCATCCCACACATGCAGTTAAAAATGATTTCCTCTCCTCCCCCCAGTTCCAGGCCCATGTACAGAAGATTTTTTTTAAATGTTTTGAGATATTTCTACGTTTTCTTTTCATGACTTTAACCTTGCAACCAAGTCACCCAGCTCTCCTGAAGGAAGCAGTTTTCTCTCATAGGTCCTGGGGTCCTTTTGCATTTGATTAGGTGTCTTTCTCCTGTGTCTGCATTGAGCCTCACCTTTCAACTCAGGGTTGAGATTGAGCTTGTTTTTGTGTTATTTTTTTCAATCCTCACCTGAGGACATGCTTACAGAGAGAAAGGGGAGAGGAGAGGAAAGGGGAGGGGAAGGGAGGGGAGAGGAGGGGAGGAGAGGGGAGAAGAAGGGAGAAGAGGGGAGGGGAGGAGAGGGGAGGGGAGTGGGGGGGAAGGAAGGGAAGAGGAGGGGAGGGGTGGGGAGGGGAGGGGTGGGGAGGGGAGGGGTGGGGAGGGGTGGGGTGGGGAGGGGTGGGGAGGGGAGGAGAGGTTAAGCTATTGGTTGCTTTCTATGATCATCCCAACTGAGGATGGAGCCGAAACCGGTTTGGCTCAATGGTAGAGCGTTGGTCTGCGGACTGAAAGGTCCTAGGTTCGATTTCGGTCAGGGGCATGTACCTTGGTTGCGGGCACATCCCTGGTAGGGGGTGTGCAAGAGGCAGCTGGTCGATGTTTCTCTCTCATCGACGTTTCTAGCTCTCTATCTCTCTCCTTTCCTCTCTGTAAAAAATCAATAAAAATATATTTAAAAACCAACTGAGGATGGAGCCTGCAACCCAGGTATGTGCCTTGACCAGGAATGGAACCAGCAATCTTTCAGTGCATGGGACTATATTCAACCAACTGAGCCACTCCAGCCAAGCTTGCTTTTTTTTTTGTTTGTTTCATTTAATTTTTGTAGCATTGTTTATCAGCTGCAGTATTGGCATTCAGGGAATCTCTTTATTTGTGCAATATAGGCTTTGTGAGAATTAACGGACTTGACTCTTTGGTCAAACATAAACCATAGAACAGCCTGGCAATTCATCTCTTTTTACAAAATTAAAACCAAATCAAGCAAAGCAAAAAAACAAAAAACAAAAAAGAGGTTGTACAGAAGTCTTTTCAAGAAGCATAATTTACCCTTTTCCAGATGTATATAAGCATGACCAACATCTCTGCATTTTGAATGAGTGTAAGGAGAAAAGGGGAAAGTAATTGATGTTACAACATATACTTTTGGTTTCAAATGTCCTCAGACTTCTTAAATACCTTGTAAGCATAGGCACTCTTCAGAGAATACTAGGAATAGTCTTCAAATCAGTGAGCCTCGAGCTTCTTGAGTATTGCTCAGACAAGCTCTGGCTTGGTCAAATACATCCTTAACTGTAACCGAGACTTGGGGCATCCACTGAGTTCAGGTGGATCCTAGGACTGTGTTGATAAAGAGTTGAGAGAATGAGGGGAGTGTTGCTGCACTTGGAAAACTTGCTGATTTCTGGTCACCGCACTTTATTAAGCCATGGAGAAAGGGAGGCCATTTGGAAGAGACTAGAGAGAATTATGACCAGATCTGAAAATGTGGACTTAGAGGATCAGATAAAGGAACCAGATACCAGGAACCAGAGAGGATAATGACCTATTGTGTTTGGAAGTGTAGTTGGGGAGGTGGTGACTACAAGAGCAATAGAGAAGCAGTACCTCATCTGTGACACCTGCAAGCAGTTGAACTAGATGGGTGGAAGTCACAGGGAGAGAGGAATTCTATTGAATAATATGTATAGAACTTCTATATGTAGGTAGATGTCTATGAACTTTCATGCATACTAATTATCATGTTTAATATGTTAATTAGTATGCATGAGACAGTATAATTTTTTAGAAATTAATCATGTTTAATATGATAATTAGTATGCATGAGACAGTATAATTTTTTTTAATTATATTAAGAGAACTTGGGCACACTGAAATTGTTCATATTGTCCTGCGATGAAATGGGAAGCCCTTGCCATGTAGGTATTTAAGTGCTTGGGAATGTTGTGGAGGGAATTTTATCATCTTCTCTATTCAAATGCAAAATCTAAAATTTCAAACTAAAGTTTAGTAAATTGTCAGCATCCCTATTTATTTGTTATACATATTGTTAATATTGTTCAAGTGATGACAGATTTTCAGCAAGCCAAAGAAAGAGAAATTATTCATGAACTACTTAATATTTTAAAGGAATTATGTGGGTTTTTATTTATTTTATTAATTCCAAGGAATGAAAACTGTGTTGGTTACTTCATAAAAGAAGTAATAGAGATTTTGAAAACTCCCATTTCACCTTGTTTTGTTTTTGTTTTATTTTTACAGCTGTGATGATGGCTACGCTGGGGCAAGATGTGAGAGAGTTGACTTTTTTTACCTGAGAGGAGACACAGGACGGATTCTGGTGATTTGTTTGACAGCAGTTATGGTAACATTGATCATTTTGGTGATTGGTGTCTGCACATGCTGTCAGTAAGTATTTTAAATTTAATTTTAAGTAAATCTGAGAAACTGTATCATCCTGATTTTTTCCCTCCTTTCTAACTTTTTGTTTTTGTTTTTATTTAAATAGATCACTTTTCAAGTTTTCCATCATTTATTTAAACTATTTATAGCAAAACACATGATATTTGTCATTTTACTGGGCACAATTATTATAATTTAAAATCAAATTTGTATAAATTTTCTAACTTAAAGAAAACTATTATTTAGTCCTAAAGTTTGTCATATTTTATGTGAGTTTGTTAGGCTGAATCAGACTCCTTTTCTCAAGCTACACAAGAACTAACTTTGAAAGATTGAAATAAATGAACAAAACATTTTTTTCTTCACATCAAAATCATGAACTTAATTTATGAAAGATAATCACACTCTTGTTCTTCTCTTTTACTTTTCATTATATGCCACAATTTTGGCACTCAATAAACACCTTGCTTTTGTCTGAGAGAGGGTGGCTTGGTATATTACTTAAGATAGTTATTTTGGAAACCCATCAAATGGTTGGTTAGACTAGAACTCCCAGGTACTACGCTAAAAGTCTCCAGTGCTATCTTTCTGTCTTGAGGAACTAGTGCAGCCTCCTAAATGCTTTAGGTAGACCGGTGGTCTGCGATCTACCCCGAAGAGGGTATCCCATGATCCCTTTCTTCACAGCCATCAGGGATGAGAAACACAAGCACAGCTCCCGGGTGACTGAGTTTTTTATAGCTCTGCCATTGAGTATCTTTGAAATGTTGGAGGACTTTCTTAACATCTGTAAAATTATATTATCTGTAAAATTAGAGAATTAAATCAGATAATTTGTAGGATTCTTTCTAGTTATAAAATTGAAAACTATTTTTTTTTTTTTTTTTTTTTGCCTACTTTCTAGCAAAAGGAACATTTATAATGCCAGGTTTGGGACAAAGTATCTGTTGGACAGAGCTCAGAGATGGCCTATTTTATTACATTAATTTTGAGTTATACTTCTAAAAAATGGGACTACAGTCCAAATTTCTAATGTATCTGGCAACTTAATTAACATTCCAAAAGTGCTCTTTGTCTTCTTATGTTTGTTTCCAATGTTTGTACTATTTGCATTGTTTGCACTATTTGCACTCTTTGTACTATTCTTATGTTTGTACTATTTCTTATATACACACTAAATAATGCCATATCAGTCTATTTTGTAAAATGACTTGTTTTGGAAAATGTCCTTGTGCTAACCAAACTCCATCAACACTCAGGTGCCACATTCTTTCTATCTATAGCCTTACTCTGTCACACTGTTTCTTATTGTAGTGACCAACAGAGCCTTGGAGCCTCGAGAGATGATTTTTAAAAGAAAACCTCAAATATTTAAGGGAGGAAAAAGGAACCTTTGCACTCTTAACAGTCTTCTAGAAATAAAATCATAGGTGGCTTTCTTGATGATTAATTTTGTCTTCGCATGAACTAACAGGCCCATGCTAATTTCTAACACTATTTTCCAAGTCCCCTTCGAAGGAAAAAGAAAGAAGATATGCCAAATCTTGATAAAGATATAACTCCTGTAAATGAAGATATTCAAGAAACTAGTATTGTTTAACGGTGAGTGTGATAAAGTTGGTAGATGGGAAACTATTCAGGTGGCATTTATCTGGGAAAATGGGGGTTTCATTGCATCTAATAAATCATTCATTAAAATTTGATTATGTTTAAAAACATCTAAAATAAATAAAATTTTCCATAGACTCTGAAGTCAAATAAAATGTTCTTAATATCTTTCTCTCACATGTTATCACAGAGATGCATGTATGTGGGAGAGGAATTTCATATACTTTTTCTAAGGTACCCAGATCAATTGTTTTTTAATTTTTTAAAAAAATATATTTGTATTGTTTGCAGAGAGAAAGGGAGAGGGAGATAGATAGAAACATCGATGATTGGAGAGAATCATTGATCGGTTGCCTTCTGCACATCTCCTACTAGAGATGGAGCCCACAACCTTTGACCTGGACTCAAACCATGGTCTCCTGGACCAAAGGTGAATGCTCAACAGCTGAGCCGTGCTGGCTGGCTGGGCAGTTTTCTAATTTTACATAGTTGTGTAGTTATTTTGTATTTTTTTTCTTCCTCATTTTTAGGCACAAAGAACAGGTTGAGAGACATCTCTCATTGAGAGGAAATAACAATTGTCATATTTTATTAATAGCTTCATTTATCGAGCATTTGCCACATGCCAAAACACTGTTGTTCTATGCTCTTTAAATGTTGTTTATCAGTTAGTTTCCCAGTACGAATCACAAATCCTCTGGGATGATCCAATAAAGAGATTTTTAAAATTTATTTTTAGTGATTTCAGAGAGGAAGGGAGAGGGAGAGAGAAATAGAGACATCAATAATGAGGGAGAATCATGGATTGGCTGCCTCCTGCATGCTTCCTACTAGGGATCGAGCCCACAATCCAGGCATGTGCCCTTGACCAGAATCAAACTAGGGACGCTTTAGTCCATAGGCCAATGCTCTAGCCACTGAGCCAAACCAACTAGAACCAATAAATAGATTTTGATGAAGGGATTGGGGTAGGCAAAAGTTGCGGGGGGGGGGGGGGGGGTGCTTGAGGAAACTCACAGGAACATGGAGGCTCCTGTGAGTTTCCTCAAGCAATGGCAGGAGCTGTACCCTTCTCATGTCCACAAGGGCTGGAGTTACATTCCCTTGGCCCTGAGAGGTGGGCTGCTGAAGGGCCCACCAGGCAGGTGCTGTGGAATGAAAAAGCCACTGCTGGAACCTAAACAAGGAGGGAAGCGGGAAATGGAGAAAAACACCCCAAACTTCCTCTCCTCCTGCTTTCAGATCTTTAGCAGGAGCCTTCCTTAGCTAAACCTAAGAACCAGAAAGGCCTGGGAGCCCTTGTGATGCAATCTGTAGTGTCAGCCCCTTAGAAGGCACAACAGGGAGAGAAGGGCTCTGAGGGGGCAAACCACAGTCACAGAATCATTTTGCCTGTGGTAGGGCCAAACACAACCACGCTGGTTTAAAACAATGGAGTGTTTGGCGCACAAGAACTGGCAATCCAGAGACTCTCATGCAGGGAAACATGAGTTCTCTCTTTCGCTCACTGTCTAAAGAGGTGGCTTCATCCTTGATGACTTCTGCCAAGGCCTGTAGCAATCAGGGCCATAGGCTTCCTTGTTCACTTTCAGCAAGAGCGGGGTAGTGACTTTCCATAGGTCTCCCAGCATCACAAAGAACCTCCTTTCCCAGAAACTCTCAGGTTAATGGGCTACAATAAATGCCTCTCAAGAAATTATAATGTTCTCTGAACTTATTACCAGGATAACACTAATGAATTGAAAACAAAAATACAAAAATGCTGGCTCTCTCTCTCTCTCTATTTTTTTTTTTTTTTTTTACTGGATGGGGGGAGGGAGGAGAGGAGGAATATTCATAGCACATTTTTCTTTTAAACACTTCCTCTTTTTTGTTTCCTACAGTCTCTGAAGGTACCTCCAGGCTGGTCACAAGCTACAAAATGCCAGGCTCAACTGAAAATGACAGAATGTGTCTCAGGAAATCAGCTAACAAAATGAATTTTAAATCATGTATTTACCTTTGTTTGTAACAGTTTTTGTTGTTTACTATTGTTTTTGTTATAATAATAAATTTTATTATTGTTTAATAATTGGGAAAAAGTACCCAATTAAGAAGGGAATATTATTAAACTTCCACTTAAGCTTTGTCACCAGGATTACTAGTTAAATAAGGAAAAAAAAAAAAAAAGTAAGAAGGACTCTAGATCCTAGAAGTTGCATTAATAATACATCTATCATTTATCCAACACTTACCATATGCTGGGAGTTTGAAATAGAAATACTTTATTTCCTTGAATCCTTGCAAGAATCTCTGAGATATTTATTATGATCCTTATTTTCTATATATAGAAACAGACCCAAAGAAGGTAAATAATCTAAAGCAGATTTTCAGAGTTAGGAACTGGTGGAGCTGAAACTAGAACAAAGATTTACCCCATTCAACGTATGTGCATCGAACCCTCATTTTTGCTCCTCACACTTGGTACAACTTAACTCACTAGATAACTCAACACTTTCTACTAAACTGTGTTTTGTCATGACTCTGAGAAACTGGGGCTATTTCCCTGCAGAAACTCAGAATGCAGGGTCCCAAATATATGTTACTGTTACTACCATATTTTCTGCAGCATTGACTTTTTTTTTAAATATATTTTATGTATTTTTTTACAGAGAGGAAAGGAGAAAGATAGAGAGCCAGAAACGTCGATGAGAGAGAAACATCAACCAGCTGCCTCTTGCACACCCCCTACTGGAGATGTGCCGCAACCAAGGTACATACCCTTGACCGGAATCGAACCCGGGACCTTTCAGTCCGCAGACCGACGCTCTACCACTGAGCCAAACCGGTTTCAGCTGCAGCATTGACTTTTATTATGTTCCTTTGCTCCTTCATATAATGCTTAGAGACATGCATAAACTCTAGGTTAGTAAAGCAAACAGATTTGCCCCCTAGTAGAATGCATAGCGCTTCAGAAAGGAAGTGCCTGGCAGTCATTAAGACGCAGGTGAGTGTGTCTTTTCACTGAGTATCAACAATAGCACTGGAAGATCTAGTTATCCCCAGGATAATGGTCAGTGACAGCATAGCAAAGCTCAGGCAGAAGCTGGTTGTGACCCTATCCTCATTTTTGTCCTTCTAATAAGCAGTAACTGAGACTGCTCTCCATGGAATATTGTTGCAATGAAATCCCATGTATACAACTATTACTTGAGACCATCTCCCATATGCTCCTTTAACTCCCTAGTATATTTAATAAGGACTCTTTACAACTGAAGAAGCAAAATCTACATTTAACCAACATCCAATAGAATATGGAACTTTCAACACTGACAGGCTAGGTCTTTTACAAAAACAGATGGAGGATGTCCCCAGACTGCTGCTCTTTGGCTGTTGCACCTGTCAGCCCAGCAGCTCCTTTTCCAGAATCTTTATAAATTATATTTATGGGGTAGATGCCATACCTAGAGTGAAGTGGAGAATTGAGAGAAAAGGTGAAGCTATACATCACTTCCTATTACACTTCATGTTTGGAGTGACACTGAGGCTGTGCTTCTATGTAATACAGATTTAGCTCAAATATCAACAGCTGATAATTTTCTAATTCTATTTTTTTTCTCCTGACTTATACATTCTTACAACAGGATTATATACAGCTGATTTATGTTGTATATGTTTTCTTTACAAGTCTTCTGGACTCATTCCATGCCCTTTCTTTTTCTCAGTCTTCTTTGATACTAAGAACACTAGAAACAAATGCTCGTTTGAGCATTTAAAACAAAAAAGAAGGCATAAATATTTCTTCTTTCCTAAACTGATGTTAGTTGACCAAAGACAATTCCGATGTGGAATTTTGTTTTGATCCTAAGATGCTAATGGTGTCTTTTGAAAATTGATAGGGCTGATGTCAAGAAAGAACTGAGGATTTTCATATCTTTTTCAAAATGTATTTATAATTGTTTTGCATATATTAAATGAACTTGGATATAAATTGTCATTATTATCAAATAATAAAGTGACTTTTATTTTTAAAACAAAGAAAACACATATACTGTATACGCAGGAATTTTCTATTGGTACCATATATTATTAAGAGAATTACATTTGAATATTAGTGCTTTGGAAAACTTTTATATTTTATAGAGACTACGATTATTAAATTTGAAATAGTCCATTCTGACCAGATGTTTTCCTTAGAAACTAAGAACTTGGAATGTGGTGGACATACATATGGGATTGTCTGCCCATATTTTTGACCCCATTTCCAGCATTTTGCTGGTCAAAGAGGAATACTTAATAAAGTTGGGCCTATTGGAGTCATTTCAAAGCTCTAGGAAGTCATGTTTTTCTTCATTTGTATCAAAAAAGCAAAGGAAGCTGATTAGAAAGAACAGAGATATAAGATTCAACTTTCCTGAGAGACTGAGTCCCTAGTACATGTATTCTCAAAGTTTAGCCTCATCTGTTCTTATTTGTGGCCTCTATGAGACATGTTATCTTTATAATAAATTCCTCACTTGATATGCTATTTGGGTTTCTGTAACCTGAAACAGAGATCCTAATTTTAGTGCATCATGGGGTTGTGTACAGTAGTTTCTTAAAGCAGAAATAACATCCTCTATCAAACAGAATATCAAATTAGGGTTTTCATATAGTGCTATCAATTGTATTAAAGGAATATTTCTAGCAACAATATTCTACTTTCACATAAACATTTAAGATGCCAATTGCAGAGCATAGAGAGGGAGCAGGGAGCTCAGTGAGCATTGACTAGGCACCTACTATATCCTAGACCCTGTGCTCCCCATAATGACAAAAGCTAAGGAGAAATAAGACACGACCCCTGAGGAAGCTTACAGTTTAGTGGGAGGAACAGCTAATCACTGATCATCTCCATTCACTTTGGTTCTCTAAAATGGGCTGAAGCCCTGGGGAGGGAGCAGGAGCAGGGTGAAGGGGGACAGGGAGGGAGTCAAGGAGGAACCTCTATACTACTTTCAGCAATAAAGATAA